ATATCTCCAGTAAAGACTCCATTATTAATACTCCCTGTGCCATTCGACGAGCAGCGAAATCGAGACATCGAAGCCTGATATAGCGAAGCAAGATGTCAGCGCCATTCCGATTTGCACTTGAACTGAGTGCTGCTCACAGTCCCGGTTACGTGAGCGATGACACACACGGTCTCGGCAAGGGCGGAATACAGTAGCTCCCAATTCCATTCTCTGTAGCTGCGACTTCAGTGACTGTGCTTCCATCGTCACTCGCATCGCCGACGTTCACGGCGTAACACATCCGATCAATTGCTATTGTTCAAACTGAAACGTTTTCTTGATCAGAGACTAGTTCACCAACTGAATTCCCATCAGAGAGGAGACTTGCAGCGGACTCAGAGTCGTCAGTCGCTGTGTCGTCTTGCTGACTCCTGTCAAAGCGAGTACAATTGCAATAGCGTGCAGTGCGCTCGACTTGACTATTTTCAGTGGAACAATATGCTGGTGTGAACAAATACTGTGCATACTGGGGGACGTTAAGAACGTCAACTTGCAGCAATGCTGACATCGCAGGCTCAAAAATACCAGCGACGCTGGAGTGAACGAGGATCTGGTGCACCGCATCAAAGCGCGTCGGTAGTAGCGTCGGTCGCGCAGTGCTGAAGTCAGATTTCGAATTAGGCGCAAAAAGTTTCTCGAAAATCTTGATTAGCGCTGGACATTCGTCCTCTTCTAATACAGTAGCCGTTCTCGCCAGCAAATACAAGCACGTCTCTAAGCACCGCGCTTCAGAAATCTCCTCGCTAGCGACACCAAAACTTGCATAGCGACAGGCAAGTTGGGACAGTGCCTCAGTGATCGTAGGAATGAGTATCCTCTGCAGTGCACAGACATCATCCCTTCTCGTCTCAAAGAAGTCCACCGCTGCCTTGATCACCAGTAGACACGTGTCCAGCATACGAATCATCCCACTATCGTTCTCACCCTTTTCGCCGTCGTACTGCTTGTTCAGTAGCTGAAGCACCACACCACAGCATTCAAAGCACTCGGGGAAGTACTCGTTAACCCATTTCACAGTATCCAAATCATCGGAATCGTTTAGGGCATGCACTGTTGTCAGGTGCTCGAGTAGTTCCAGTTGCAATTGCATTCGTGGGGTGAGCCGGAATGTCGGTCCTTCATCGACGAAAGTGCTCACAAGTGTAGCCACTTGATCCATACAATATTTTTGCAGTGTAACTGGAAGGTACGCATACGTGGAGGCAACCACTTCCAGAATCTCGCTAGATGTTGTTGAAGAAGCCCTTGTGTATTTTAACTGAGCTTGTAGAAGCAGCAGCTCGAGTGCTAGACCTGAAGCGATCTCGTTCCATCGACGACACAGAAGCTCCTGCCAAAGCAGGTGCTGGTCCCTGAGCTCCTTTTCCTCCACTCCAATACCCCAAAGCACGTCAACCACTTGCCCACACCTCCACAGTAATTGGTGAGTGGTAATGTCAGATGAAAGCTTTTCTGTCTGGTTTAAATGAGTCGCAGCGAGCTGGAATGCATCCACCAGCGCGTCCCCGAGTCGACCGCCACCCTCTTGCTGTAGTTTCTTTGTATTGCTGATGTTACTGCAACAGAGAAGTATTTTGGCCTCGTTTATGGTTTTATCCATGATCTGTTCCAGCGCTTGGAGCTGCTCGGGTGTCAGTTCCCGGTCCTCTATTTCCGAAAGAAAAGCGAGCACGGCGGGTGTAAAACTCGAGTCGAAAAAGCTCGGCACTGGCTCCGCATGGGCACTCCTCGAAGTGCCTTGCGCTGGTGGCGGCGTTAGTCTTATTTCATCGTTTTCGTCGTCCAAGCTCTTGCTGTCACTGGACGACATCCAAAACACCTTTATCCACAGCCGGAAAACTTGCAATACACAATAACTTAGTGGTAAGATCGTTTTGTTCCCGTAAGTTTTACTGATTCAAAGCAACTTTAACATTAGCGATGATCACACACTTCAGTCGGATTGGTATTTTGCATTTCTCACTTTGTTGTCTACACTCATGTCTGCTTAAGACTCGAATAACAGTCTATAGCTGACGGACAAGTTCCGGTGTTTACATGGTGCAGTCCTTGTGCGACGTCGACGTGGTGGTGGTGGAAGTCTGCGTAATGGACGTCGAGTCGTCCTCAACACCGTCCGAGGTGGTGTCGTTCTGCGTTGCATCACCCGAAGTGGCATCATCGCCGCCCGCAGTTGTGGTGCTGGCGTCTCCACCCACCAAAGTAATCGTAGCCGAGTCGCTGCCGTTAAAGGAGCCCGTGTTGTTGTCGAACATGGCGGAGATGGAGTCCTTGAGGACACCGTCCTTGGTGAACAGGCCAAAATAGGCCTCCACCGTCTCGTTGGCCTCGAGCGTGGGCAGCTTCCAGGCCTCGTCGAAGCCCGAAAAGTAGTAGTACATGAGGTTCTTCTCCGTCGCGAGCGTGTAAAAGTCGTAGAAGTACTTGGCGGCATTGGCAGCCGTGGCAGGACTCGCACCGGCACCAACACCGTCCGATGCCCAGCCAGTCTCACCAATGACCACCTCCTTGTTGTAGGTGCTGGCAGTCTGCACGAGCGCTGAGAAGCGCTTGTAGAAGGATTTCGCAGCGACGTCGATGTCAGTCTTCTCCCAGAACGGGAAGTAGTTGGCCGACACGTAGTCCACGGCCTCAATCAACTTCGGGTATGCCGAGTACGTGTCACCGATGTCAGCGATGGTGAGAGGGATGCCGGCGGCCCCCGCGTTGGCCTTGCAGAGCGTGCGGATCTCCTCCAGATAGGAAATCGCCACGTCCACCGTCACATCTTCACGGTACACTGCTTCACTGCCGACGTGGATGCCCACAATGTGTTCACTTTGAACGACTCCGGACTCCAGCAGCGTCTTGAATGCGGCCTTCTCCGCTTCAAAGCTGGACGCGGACGAGTCTACCCACATGCCCAGCTCGACCTTGAGGCCCGCCTCAATAGCAGCGGGCACCACAACTGTGGCCTGGTCACAGTCAGTGAGTGAGTACAGACGGATGGTGTCCGTCACACCCTTGAGCAGCGCCAGCTCGGTAGCAATCAGCGATGCAGGCTTGCACTTCTCGTTGGCCGGGGCCCAATCCGGGCCGGCGCGGATGTTGTAGTTGATGCCAGTGCACTTGAAGTTGCCGGCGTCAGCGAAGCCGAAGGAGGTGGCCACCATGGCCAGGGCGGAGGTCGTACGCAGCACGTTCACCATGTTCTATGTTGGTTATCGCTGTCGGGGCTTGGGGGGATACTCTTATCGAGGAGATAAGAGTTTGGGAAATGAGCACTGGCCAAACCCACCTCCGTCGCGAGTCCGAAGGAACGTGGCATGCCCTCCGCATCTGTGTGTCCACAACCACGCGAGCGCCATCTGGATCGCGTGTCATGTACAACGGGACGCTCCTCTTGGATATTTTGGCGGAGACGAGTAGCGAAAGCTTGTCAGCAGTCGATTCGGTGCACGTACGTCAGCTTTTCGAGCGGCCGGGATTTGCCGTCGTCGAAACACATTTGGTGAGTGGAATACCCATGTGGAAGCCTCAAGGTGGCGTCGATATGGAGGGCCATTGGCTTGAAGCGTTCGATGTCAGTCGCGTACGAATTTCCAATGGAAACGTGAGTGCGAGGCGCTGCTGCGCTGTCCGAAGCAACCTGTCACTATGTAGTACCAACGCCGGTATATATATGTGACTTGATTTTCCCGTTCGAAAGATGGAGCTCTCTTGCTGCTTTGTCGTAAGCACAAAAGACACTCGAGTCTTGACGTTGCCGTTTGAGAGGACGATCGACGAACGTCGAAAGGAGATGCGTTCTCATGCAGCTCCAATACCCTAGCTTGGAAGCCACCGTAGCACCACATGCAATGCGCTCGTTAGGGAAATCCCGTTGCTACGTTCTGGTACTGAAATTAAAAAAGTACTTTGAAGTAGTGGAGGGCCTCTACTAGAGGCTGTCGGAGCGCTGCCTCGTCCACTACTGTAATGCACGTTCTGGTGCAGAGGTTCATGGAATTAGCTGGTGAAGATAGGTGGGGAATCATGTTGAGCATTTGCAAGGTATCACTTCAAAGTGGACGCTTCGGACAACGTCGTTTGACGCTGTGAAGTTTTTCTCATTTTGATCGAGTAATTCTCAAATTGAATGGTGTAGTAGAATGGTTTTCGCTCGTCTTACTATAGTAAAGTAATACTGGGATTAATAAAATAGATGCAATGACATGTTCTATTCAGATAGTGTTATTATGTATAAGAGTAGTATAAATATAATAGCATAATAATATCCAGTAATATAGTACTATATGATTAAATTGTAGTACTCTAAGAGCACTTAATTTAATAGTACTTAAGAGTAATGTAGTTAGCTGTAGAAATTTCGTTACAAGGAGTGGATATCTTATTGCGCTTTAGTAGCACGTGCATATCCGTGCGCTGGTTATCTGCTCTCGCTTGAATGCTGTTCATCAAAACACCCTGAAATGAACCAAAATGCGTAGAAAGAATCGTGTATTCCCATATTCATGACGCTAGCGCTGCATGCTCCCACTGTCAGCCTTATTCAGCTTGTTCATGGCTTCTACTAGTTAGCAGACTACACCGCTGCGTTCAAGCAGAGGACGGAGGGTGTATTGGGCTGTTACAAGATTGCAAATGAAAGGATCGATGAACCTGTCATTCTCGAAGATTAACACTAACGCGTCATATTCTCCACTAAAAGAACTCCTCCTAGAGCCGAACAAGCCGCGAACCCTGTCTTGAATCTCTGCATTGGCCAAAATAACTCGAACGGCCGGGTCCCGCTTCGTTCTCGTAATTTAGACCGTAATTATAGATGCTTCTAATAAAATCCTACAATCTACTATAGTAGTGAAAAATCCATGTCGATAATGTGTCGCCATGTGTCGACAAGGTATCTACTGTCTGCTGTTGTAAAATAATATTAAAGACAGTATTTATTAGCTTACGATCGATTATATGATCTGGCAGGAATGATATACATTGTCAACCCAGGCAATATTAACATGCAAACAGTTCAGAACCAGGGTTTTTAATAGCATCATTTCTCCGTAGAAAAGTACTAAAGTAAATAGTAATTTTTTGTGTACTACAGTAACTCACAGGATTTTCTCTTTGCAACTGGATAGTACTCAGTAGCTCGCCTCAATGGCGTCGATAGTACTATTGTACTGCTCAAAGATGTTTGGGCCACGCGGATTTAGTATCGTACAATTATTAAATACCAAGTATTGCACGCTAAGGTCACACGATTCATGTTATCTCCCTCGCACGTCTAGATGCTCGTTGCTGCTATGGGGTATATTCTCCTCATGTTGTTGTGGATGTTGCTGTTTTAGAGCAGCTCCTGCTCATGCTAGCCTGCCGAGCCAATATGCTATATCACTTCGCAATTTCCAGCAAACCCAACACCACTTTTCTACCAATAAAGCTCCCCAAGTTCTTGACTCTTGACTCCATGAAGTGACCAATCCGAACTCGATCTGACCCCGATGGGCGCGTGTTCCGTGTATTTTTGTGAATCTCGCCAATCAGCTCCAGCTTGACGATGGAACGTTGGCAACAACCTCGCCACCCTTGACAACTCTCTTTCGCTGCAAGGTGCGTTTTTTTGCATCTTCTTAACGCTATGGATTGGGGGGTTTGTTGTCACGCTTGTGTCGACCACTTGGCAGCACGGTTGCGTGGTGCGTTCTGCGGTGCTATTATAACGTTTTGAATTTGCTGTTATCTAAAGACATCTTAATTGCAGCTTTCTCACATATACTGGTGCCACCAAACTGAATTTATGCACACTGACATTCCCTGGTGGTTTGTGCTGATATCGGTTGCTGAGTGATCGTTTTTCGCTCAGAACTTTGTGTTCTCTACCTGCTGCAGTATCGTGAGTCCACATCGCACAAATACGTGAAAATCAAGATCTTATGAAGCCAGCGCCAGCGAGTCGGCTGGAAGCGAAGCAATTGGAAACGAAAAATATTCTCAGGTGGTCAACAGGCAGTAGTTCGATAGTACTATAGTACTTAGAGCATCTCCACCGTAGTGTTGTTCCGGGTAATTACCAAACGGTAAGTTTTTACCGGGTAAATTGTCTACCCGTGGGTAACTACCCGGGTTACCCGGGTAACTTGTTGACGCAACCGCGAATCTTTCATATCTTTCACGTTGAAGTTCCCTCCACGCGACTTTCAAACGAATGGCGCACGCGCACTTCCAAACAAGCCGAGTTCTGCTCAAGCCGCCACCGCTAACTGATATGGGCAAGCATGAGATTTGGAAGCATTTCACTAAGGTTGTCCCAGCCCAGAAAGGTGTAAAGCAGCATCCAGACGTCCAGTGCAATTACTGCAACAAGATGATTTACAACGCGCAGCGGAAGAAGAACCTGGCGCCCCATTTTGCTGGAACGAAAAAGAGACGTGAATGCCAAGAAGTCCCGCCTGATGTTGCTCGGCGATGCGGACACATAACTCCTGTCCGTAACTCTTCAGCAAGACGCGCACTCTTTGGAAACGACGGACATGTAATTCCAAGGTCTTTCGTGTGTCGAGCCACGAAAGTGGAGCTGGAGTTGAGCTTTGCCGAGATGTGCTTTGCTACGGGTGTCCCGTTTCGACTGGTTGAAGACCCTGCTGTCAAGAGGTTTTTTGCTCTAGCTTGCCCTGGCTTTCGCTTGCCATCACGGAAGCGTATTGCAGGTCCACTACTCGACCAGGTGTACCTAGCACGCAAGGCGGCTGTCATCGACACTCTCAAAGAGCAGCCATACATGGCTCTGTCGACGGATGGTTGGTCGAACACAAACAACGAGAGTTTCATCAACTTCATGCTTGCGTCGCCAGACATGAAGCCCGTCTTTTGGAAGTCAATTGCTACCGGAGAAGAAGAGCACTCAGGTGTTTACATTGCGAGCTGTATCAATGATGTGATTAACGAAGTTGAGACCGCAATTGGAGCTCCTGGAAGAATTTGCTCCGTCGTCACTGACAACGCAAAAACCATGCTGACAGCATGGACGGAGTTGAAGAAAATGCGGGCCTACATTTTCTGTACGGGGTGTGGAGCTCACAGCTTTAACTTGGTGATGAAGGATGTGCTGCAGATAAACCGCATAGCAACTGTACAGGATGATGCCAAGCACGTGGCAAAGTTTGTTCGTGTTAGACATGGTCTACTGGATCGATTTCGTACGAAGCAGAAGGGAATGAGGACTGCAGGTGAGAAGCAACTTGCACTGAGTATTCCTATTCCTACCCGTTGGTACACTGCCGAGAAGTGTGTTCGCAGTGTTTTCAAAAACCAGTACATCATTCGATCCATGTTCGACGACTCGGCGTTACTAAAACGCTATAACACGAAGAAAACAAGACCTAAGTTGGAGCGAGCGCAGTCGATTGTGTCAAACCAGAACAAGTGGAAGGAGTGCAAGCGTGTGGTCGATATTCTCTCTCCTATCAACCAGAGTTTGGCACTCTGCGAACAGAACAAG